TGCTGATTATTGATATGTTTTTTTTATAATATTGACTTGCAATATTATATGGTTTAGTTTAATTTTTTTTATTTTTTCAGTGTTAGTTAATAATTCTGTTATGTTTTGATTTTTTTTTGGTCTGTCACGTTAGTTTGCATGGCAGGGGTTGTTTATAATTTAATATATTATATGATGATCCCATTGAAATTGCTGCTGTTTAATTAGGGTGATTAATTTGTTTAATGGATGTCCCTAATCAAGTCACATGGGACTAATATACTATTGGACCCTCACATGATTAATAATATAAACACCCTCTCTTTTTCCTATTTTTTATTTATTTATTTTTTTATTTACATATCTCATTGGGAAGTTGCTTTATTCATTACTATAATCTGCATTATTTAAACTTTTATTACTTGTTTTTTTTTTTTTGTTGCATTAAAGATGTTATTAGATGGCCTTACACGCTTTCAATTATTCACAATTTGCCATTCAAATTTTCCCTAATTGTGAGTTATTTATGATAACATTAGAAGTTTTACTGAGGTGAAATTAAAAGTGTAGATGTTAAATTATTAGAAGTTCGAACAAGTCAAATTTTCTATTAGAGATAATTTAGAAGTTTGGCTGAGTTTTAAGGTTAAATTTAAAGTTTTGATGTTAATTAGAAGTTTGTTCAGTCAATTATATTTTTTCTATCATTTCATAAAAAATAATTTTAAATTGATTTTATATTTAGAGAAATGTTACAGTCCCATTACGGAACTATTCCGTCGAGGTTTGTAACTGTTAGATCAACTATTTTCGACGGTTACATGATGATCTGACGGTCACAAATCCCAACGGAATGGTTCCGTAACGGGACTGTAGCATCTCTCTTATATTTATATGCAATTAGTTAGAATTCACTGTGAGACTAGATAATGTAATTTGAATAAATAACATAAATAAAAGTATATAAGTATAGTAGTTTTTATTCAATAAAATGTGATAAATTATCATCTAATTAGAGGAGAAAAGAGTCTTTTTAACTAAAAAAAAAAGTCACATCTTAATTAAAGAATGCTAATATGATTATAGCTGACAATGACAGCCTATAATCATCTTTAGTGCCTTTTAATCTCTCATTTCACTCAACAGTCCTTTTTGCTTATATTATTTGGAAAAATACTTTAATGTAAAAGCACTGTTTAAGTGCTAACTAAACCACACTTTAACGGCGGGCTAATTTTGTTTAATTATTCAGCTTTACGCAACAACAACAACAACATACTCAGTATATTCCTAATTGGTTGGGGTCTGAGGGGTCAGTTGTACGCAGACTTTACCCTTGTAATTATACGAAGAAGCTGTTTTCGTAGCGAACCAAGGTTAATTATTCAGCTTTCTTTAAATAAAAATTAAAAAGGTCCTCCCAAATAGTATTTTATTGCCTTCATCTATATCAAGTTTTTGTCATTTTATTACTTCACACTATTGAATAATTCTGGAAGCATTTTGCTTCTTTAATTTAATTTGATAATATATATCACTTAATTTCAATATCTTTGAGATTTTCTTTTTGTCTAGTAGTAATGAACAAACAACATTGTCTTTTTCCTCTGTTTATTGCTCAAAGGTCAAGCAAACTATTAACTTTTGATGCAATTAGTCCAATTAGTTGTGGAAATTGGATTAAAACTTGTATGAATTCATCTTAATTACTCCAAATATTATATTTCAACAATCTTTTTTTTTAGTCTGTCACGGTATTCGGAGTTATGTCTCAACTAATCCGTTGGTCGACCCGGGTCGCACACCTGACAGTGGTGGGTGAGTCTCCCAACAAGGATTTTCTGCATCCACAAAGACTCGAGTCCGAGACCTTGCTTAAACGGAATCAAGTTGATTACGACTTGAGTCAACTCTGTTGGTAACAATCCTTTTTTTCTTTTTTCTTTTTAATCACAAGACATTGTACTTTCTGTTGTAATAATTTCTCAAATGGATTTAATTTTCAGCTTAAAACATGATTAGTACCTGATGATGATTAACAATTATTAATTCTTTCTCAAGATATTTGCACTTTTTTTTTTAATTTTTAGTTGCAAATAAATAATCAGTGAAGATAATTTTGTTGTCTAACTAATTAAAATTATTGTTGGATAATATAAATGATATGCTTAAAGCTTTATGCAATTTCAATCAAGTGACATACGAAATGATGAAATATTAATTGAATTCCTTAGCATTGGGAAATTTTGTAATTATATACTATATTTATTAAATAGTTAGTCAAAAGTTTTGAAATACAAATAGATGCATCAGATATATAAATATTTCCAGATTATGATATTTCTGTACAAATTGAATCCCTTGATTGAAGTTAAGTTGAAATAGTATTGCTGCCAATCCCTAAAAAAAGATACTTAAACAATTTTAAATAATATATTAATTTCAATTTGTTTGAAATATGAACCACATAAGCTAGTTGACTCCTCACCTAACCTTTATAATAAGTATCAAATAAATTCACTTTTGAAAATTTTGGTTAAATTAATAAATAATTGCTATGTGTAACAACCATATATATTTATTTCAACCAAAGCTGAATCTATGAATGTGTCATATTATAAACCTTCATTATCAAATTTTTTTTAATTTAATGTATGCAAACCTATACAGTATACAATGTACATTGAATTATTATATAAAAAAAATGTAAATTCAACAATGTATAAAATATATAGATATGTATATATACAACATGGTAGTTGGTGCAATTAATTGATTTACATGTGATAAGTGTTTAATAATAAGATTAAATACAAATGATTTAGCCTTAATTAACCTAATTATGATGCATATTACATGAATTTATATATGTATGTCAGTTAATATTAGTTATGATTCCAATAATTTAATATATAATGTAATGTTTATTGTGGAGAAACATGATCAGGACTTTGCAAACTAGTTTGAAACTTGGAGAACATTTTTTTTTTTTTTAAATTAAAGATTTATAATTGATGAGTCTTTGACTTGTTCTAGCTCTCTCCCTTTTTTTTTTCCCCAAACATTAATCCTAGGAAGATTATGATTTGTAAACAATCTTTGACAAATGGTGACACTGTTAATTTAATTTAGATAAAATATTATTTCTTATTAACTTTTCGAGAAGAATATTTAAAACATAAGTTTTAAATAAATAATAAGTTTAAAGTAGTTTTATATAAATATATTCCTCCAAAATAATAATATGTCGGCACGACTCTGTAAAATTAATTTTAAAAAATTAAATATCTTGCTTAACTAAGAGTAAATTTTTTTATCTAATACACTTTTATAGCTTAAGATATCTTGCTGTAATTCAATTTTGTATTTAAATGTTATAAGGAACTACTGTAATTATCTGGACAAAATATAATTAAATAAACCAAATTAACTATAGTCATACTCTATATATTAGCAGCTATATGTGTACATAGAGACAACATTAAAGAGAAGCTTAATAAAGATATTGACAATCTGATAATTTGATGTTGAAAAAAGTTGGACATTTTTCAAACTTTAGCAGATTGATGATAATTTGTCCTAATGTTAGGGACCTACATCTATCATTAACTCCATAATTATTCATTATTTCGATAATTATTTCTGACACCCTCAAATAAAATGCCTTCAAAATTCAGTATAATTATCCAAAAATGGCAATAAATCTACTTTTCAACATACTGTAAATGTATAATTTTTTATTTTTTTTTTATTAATACTTGGAAATCTAATCTAACATAAAAAAAAAACATGTCTAACTCACTTTATATATAGTAAAACATATATATATATATATATATATATATATATTTCAAAATTTATAACAGATCAACTCGCTGAAGATAGAGCCGTCAATAAACGATATATATTTTTTGTGCATAGAAATTATCGGCAATTATCTTACCGGGTTATAATTTGGGTAAATTCGATGCTGCCTCTAGGGGCACTGCAGTCAGTCCCTAGGGGCCCTTGATTTACACACAAACACACACACTCACATGGGTGTGTGGGAAATCAAGGGTGGTGGGGGCATGACTGCACTGCCCCCACCTGTAGCATCGAATTTTCCTATAATTTGGTAGACGGGTAATATATATTTTTTTTTCTATATACTCTTTATTGTGAAAACATCAAATTAGGTATTAATTAGTACTTTCTTTTTGGGTGTGTGTGAAATCAAGGGTGGTGGGGGCATGACTGCAC